TCACTGAAAGGGCTCTCTTTCCACCCTTGTGTTTCATTGGTTTATATATTATTTAACCAAATTACATTGTTACACTGACATTCAACTGGTATAAACAGGTTTGGGAACCATCACACTGACTCTTGGAAAACACCCAATTAACTGTGGGAGCAAAGACACAGACGTGTTCCAGAGATCAGTGCAGCGGCCACTAGGGTAAGTGGCCTTTGGGCTGTAGTTAAGTATCTGTGGGAGAGGCATTTGTGAGAGTTTTCTAATGCAACAAGTTGGGTAACAGAGTATTCACTATACCAGGAATGTGGAACATCTTTTCATATACTTATTGTCCAATATCCTCTACTGCGAACCATCTGTTCACTTACTTATTTTTCTAATTATTTACAAGTGTTCTTAATAAATCTAAGATATTTAATCCTTGCCTTTTTGTATGTCATAAATATCTTCTCTTAGTCTGTTGCTATCTATTGACATATTTTTTTGTAGTTATTCTGTTTTACAGAATTACTTAATTTTGATCTAATGAAGCATATTACTTTTCATTTTTTTATAGCTTTTGCTTTCTATGTCTTGTTTAAGAAAGCCTCCCTTTGCTAAGATTCTACACATTCTCCTATGTGTTCTCATAATACTTCAAAAATTTTGTTATTACCACATTCCAGATGAGGAACTGGAAGTTCATAAGTTTCAGATACTTGGCCAAAATTCTAACACTAGAAATGATGAAGCTAGGATCCATATTGATATATAATCTATATATAATCCCCAAAGCCAGTGTTACAGCTTCACATAATCTTCCCAAAGAAAGAATTAAAAGTCTGAAAAGTGGACTATATGGATGCCATGAGTAATGAAAATGGGGAATAAATGCACATCTTTGTACTAACAGTACCTAAATGACTGACATATAAATGCTTCATCATCAGCCTCAGAAAACCCCTTCCACACACAGAAACTGCAGACAAAGGACCCAAGTGACTGGAGATCTAAATGCTACTGACCAACTACTAGGTGTCAACTACTGAGATTGATTCATTCTACTCTAATTCATTCATTAATCCACCCACGCAAGTAAACAAAAATATACTGAACACCTAATCTGTCCCAAGCAATGCTTCCTGAGCTGCACACTCTCACTTCTGCCCTTTGCTACACTTCTCTGCCTGGATGTTATGCAAGTTCCTAAAGCTTTGCTTGCCCAAAGCCAACTGCTACACATCACAATCTACCTTGAATTGTGGTCATTTAGGTCACATGCTTTCTGACATCAGAAAGTGAGCTCTGTAGGGTAAGATTTATGTCTGATGCACCTCTGTGTCCTCCAAAGCACACAGCCTAAGACACTAGTAGTGTTCTGTTACTGCTGTGTTATTGTGTCACTGGTAGGGTTCACTTACTACACTGTCAGGTCAATGATGGCCACACTGCCTCTCTTGGAAACTACACTGTGATCTATTTAAGAGTGGGCAAAATGAGTAACGAATAATGAGTGAATGAATGAACACCTCGTATTCTCATCAGACACAATCTTTCTAGTGATTTTACTGTTTCACTGAGGTCACTATTAATTCTCACTATGACCAGTCGTCTTCCCAGGAGGTCACAATCTTGGTATTACCATTATCTCATGACTCATCTGTTTTCGCTTAATATCTATAATGAACAGTCAAATCTTGTTGCTTCTATTGCAACCCTGACCAAATCTTTTCTATTCTCCCTGCCACACTTTGGTTTCACTATCTCTTGTAAAAACTACAAGGAATGATATCCTACCTTGGTGCTCCCCACACCAATCATATTATACCTGTTATTGCAATATAAACTTTTCTGAATCATAATCAATCTCATCCTGTCAATCCCTTGCCTAAACCCTCCAAAGGTTGTCTGTAGTCCACTGAATTAATTTCAGACGTCTCAGCTGGACATCAAGGTTCTGTATCACACTCCATCTACATTTTGATTCTAATTTCCCACCACTATTCAACTGACACCTTCTCCTCTTTCCTCCTATTCCCCAATCAAACAGGACTACTACATGCATTTTATTCATCTGTCTTGCATTTTCCATCTCCGTTACTTCTGCTTCTGCCTGGGGTTCTCTTCTTTGTTCCGTCCTTGGAGGCCCACTGTAAACAGCAGCTCTTTCATGAAGTAGGTCCTCAGACCCCAGTGGACAAGTTCTCTGCCTCCTTTGACATCAGCAACACTTTGTATTGCCTTCTTGGAATTGGGCTTGTTATTTATTTATTTACCCATAAATTTATTTACCCATAAATTTATGGTTATTTAGCATGTCCCTTATTTACTGCAATACAAGTGCCCTGAGGTGAGGGCCATGGTTTCCTTATTTTTGCGTTATTTTCCTTATTTTTGTGTTTTTCTGCAGAGTCTAGTATAGAGCCTTGTACACAGAGGTAATCAATAATATTTGTGGAACTGAACTGCTATAAGCTCCTTGAGGACAGTGACTTTGTGTCTCTCAATACAAGTAATGACCTTGTATGTAATGGGTACTCAAACTGTATTTGCTTAAATAATTTCAGAGTTCCAGAGCAAGATTTTTCAAAGTACACATAACACTGGCATTAACCTGAAAGTATTCATTTAGAAATTGCTCACCAATTAACAGAGAAAGGAGCAGGAAAGAAATATTGGCCCTAACATTCTTTATTCCTTCCTTTTGTTAAATGGTAATGCCTCACTTGTATTAGGTGCTTATCATATACCAAGCACTGCACTCAAAGTCTTACAGTGCTCATGTCATATAATCCTCACAACAGCACCATGAGGCACTGTCTTGTCCCCCACCCAATGGGCAGGGTTAGAGAAATGACATAACTTGATCCTGCCATGAACAAGTGGCAGAGCTGAGATTTGAACCCAAGGCAGTTTCTGCCTCCAGATTATGTTGCTGAGCCCTTTAACTTCAATGGTTTAAAAAAAAAAAGCATCTTTTAAAAAATACTTTGGCTTATATCTCAAAATCATTCTTTGAAACATAAAAAGTTTTGACTGTTAGATTATTTTAATGGATGTAAAAATAAACAGTTGTTAAATACATTTCATCCGTCTTCCAATGTAAGCTTCAACTTTAGGAGGCTATTAGTTTTCTCAAACAACACCCACGGTCAATACATTTGAAAGGATGGAGCAGGTGAGAAAGATAACAGACTACCAGGTAAGTGACAATCATTTAATCTTGAAAAGTAGTCTAGAAATCTCAGAGCCAAAGATAACCATTCATTCCCCAGTTTCAACGCAAGTCTCTACACACTTGAAAGCTTCTGTTGGTAGACTGGACTCTGATTGGCTGGCCGAGTAAAGGGATGTGAGGCTGTCACAGCTAATCCACAAGTAAGACAGACGAGAAATTTCTCTTTTTGGGTCTCCACTTAGTCTTTAGTCTGCACAGAAAAGCGTTAGTGCCAATTCTGGTCACAGTGCTGTAAAAGAATGTACTAGCACCAAGGAGCTGACAGATTATAATATAGAAAAAGAAGGAAAAAAGTTGTCTTGGCCCTAAATATGATGAGAACACACTGAGGAAATACTCTCAAGTTCTAAGACAAAAGTCATTAAGATTCAGAAATACAAGTATGTGAAGAACAGATGGACACTAGTAGTTACAGCCAAGAAATAGCCCCTGCCAGACTGGTCACCAATGTCTCTAGGTTTCAGTGGCAATATTATTATTAAAGATGAGATTTATAACTCAAGCTGAAATTTTGTCAAGCAAAGAAAACCCTGATTTTCAGTAAAATAAAGTAGAAAAATGACAATTGATGCCTCAAACCAAAACAAAATTTTCATGTAAGAAGTCTGATAATATTCACTTCCATTATTTCTTCATAGCTACCTTTTCCTGGATTTAAGTGTAAATGTTAAAATATACCATAGGCATGATGATTCTGTGCTAAGCAATACTTTAAAGTCCAAATCCCATTTACGAAGCAAAATTTTATTATACAGTATTTTCACTCCTTTAAAATGATCTAAAATATTCAGTTGGTAATACATCAGTATTATGAGTTGCATATCATATGTTCAGAAAAGAATAAGGGGAAGAGAATTAGCCCGTATGTCCATTTTTGTATCACGGAAAATGATAGCCTTAAATACTCATGAACACTGGTTAATAGTCTATAAACTCCCTCTGCCGTTTCAGAAATCATCAAAACAAAAAGCAAATAATGGCAAAAGAAGTTTAAGTCAAGTGAAAATATTATATGACACTGCCAACTTCTTAAAAATACATTCACCTGAACACACACAAAAAATAGCAAATAATTAATCCCCAAATAAAATTTAAAAACAATCTGTCCTATACAACTGAATACAAATTTTTAATAATTTGTAACCTCTTTTAAGTAATCAGCTAATATGACAACTAAATATTTTCACAGAGGTGGAATATTAAGGTGGTATGTGCATATTGATTCATCTTAAAGAAAGAGGCTCCCAACTTTCTGTTTCCGATCACTATAAAACATTAACTCAAAACCGAACATACCTTTAACACTGTGAATGCGAAGTACTGACTAGTTTGACAGGAGACCTTTCTTGAAAGCACATTATTTTCCTCTGAAAGGCAACTTCCTCAACAATACTACATAACACTGTATGTTCAGAATAATGAAATTTAGCCATTCATCCTGACCTGGATAAGAGTTAAAGGAAGTGGAAAAAAAGACAAAAAAAAAAGTCCTCCTCCCATAAATTTCAAGCCTACTTCATGATTTTTCCTTTAAATTTAGCCATCTTAAAACATTACTAATTTTGCTATATTTCCCCTGGAGCACTCTCTATCAAGATTAAAGAAAGGCTTATTCAGAAGCAAACAGGATACAGGAATAATGGTGCAGCTTCCAGGCAAGCTATAAATAGCGAGAACATTTTCAAGAAATCTTGTGCCAGTGTGTAAGCTGCAGCTTAAACATGCAGTGCAGATTTTATTACAATGGTGTCACCAAAATTCATTGTTATATGAGAAATTCAATTCTTACCAAGTTTTCTTGGTTCCTGGCTGCTACTTTCTGCTCCTCTTCTGCCCCATTTTTCATGTATTTGACCTCTTCCACTGGTTTGATCCTATACTCATCTAAGTATCAAAAGAAGAAAATATATTTTATAACTTTTTTGCAATGGTAGAAAAGTGTCAGAGAGAAAAGCCCAAGAGCATATTTGTTAGACCCTTTCTTTTCCCTGTGGCCTTTATTTGTGGTCCATTTGAACAATCTGGAAAAAGCTTCACCAGCCTCTTTGAATGAGGTGCTTTCCTCTGTCTACTGGGAAAAGCTTAGCACCACAAAGCCAGCTGATGAATGTGACACTGCCTGGTCTTTTCATAGAGGAAACACAGGTAATTCCAGCTCTAAAGACTGTTTGGAATTTGTACATATTAGGGCATATCACATAATGATCTAAGGAAGATTTTTTTCCATGAGAATATTATGGAAATTTTAGGCTCACAGTTCAAAATGTCTGTGGTGGCAACTTTCAGTAGTATGTTCATACCTCAATTTCTCTCTTTTGGAGAAACAAAGTACTCCTAAAGAGGCTCATTGATCGGTAAATAAATATAAACCATCGGGAATTGAAAATTTCCTATTTGTGATCCCCATATTAAACATAGAGCAATTTGCAATTACTTCATATGCTACGCACACACACTTCAAACTCTGTAAAGTCTCATGCATGAAGAACCATAGTACCCAACGGTTCTAACAGGTATATTACTCAATGGATGTGGAGTACAGTGGTGCATGGATGGGACCTTGGCTTCACAACAGATCCCAGTATATACACCATCGGATAAACTCAGGAAAACCTGCAGCTAAAGCTCTTCTCCAGGGTAGAGGTTTGCCGATGGTGGTTATGACATGTTCACCAGTTTCCTGTCAACAGGAAATGACTTGGGCACACTAAGGTAAAAAATGAGTGAGTTCATCTTTAATCCAATTTGTTGGAAAAATCACAGGAATTACGGAATCAGAAAATTTCATCAACCAGCAAACTGATGATTGCCTGGCCTATGGCATGGAATAATGTCTATGATAGGCTACCTGAGAGACAGATGTCTATCACCAAGAAGGCGTGTATTTCAGTTCAGGGAGTCTGCAGTATTTTTTTATTGCCTATGATTAATTTAGTACAATGACTATATTCTTATTTAATTTTTTGCCTTATTAGTTATAATAACATTTCCTATATAGTTTCAGGCTTTCTCATTCTATCCCTTAATACACACTACCCCTAAGGACATTTGTTAAAGTCACATTTCTCTAAATAATTATGCTGTCCAAATGCTTCTCAAAATTATCATCCTTATGAAAGTAATGCATTTTTATATATCTGAACAAAGACCCCTGTTTGTGGCTAAACCAGTTTTTTCTACCTGACAATTCAAAGCACTTATGGATTCTGCTTCCTTCTCAAGAAATTAGAAAGACTGTTAGGAGGTCACAGCAACAAACCCTTAGGAATGCCAAGTCATAAATGTGCTAACAAGGTAATCAGTGGATCTTGATCCACAGTTACAACACAAAAGAACTCGCCATTCCTATTTGGTATTCAGAAGAGAAAAAAATGAAAGTAAATTAACAAAAGCACATTTGATAGAGGATCATTTACTCAGAAGTTGGGAAAGCACTTGTTAGTTTAAAAAAAAAGAGACACTGACACATTTTGCCTCTAATACAATTACACAGAGATAAAAATAAAGGTAAGAAATGAAAGTTAAAGATGGGCCTCCTTAACCTCAGTGTGGGACATATATTAATATTAATAAAGCAGGGTGTGCTTGCATAATTACTAACATTTAACTGAACTAAACTGTGATCTTTATTACTTATGGTAAATCCTAATTATTTAAATATAAATTATATAGACACACACAGATGTTTTTAACACAATTTCAGTGGATTCTATGATTTTGTCTATAGAACCCAAACCCTCACATGATGGGATGGAGAAAGCAACATTTTAGGACCTACGCAGAGCCTGCTGAACGATGGCCCTTCGCCCACTGCAAAAGGTCTGTCCTGGAGAGGATCAGCCTTGCCACACTGCCTCCCATCCGCCAAGCCACAGCCCATGGCAGACGCTCTCTGAGCAGCTTAGCAATACTCAGTCTTCATTTTCTTTTTATCCCTCCAGGGAACACAACTGAATTGAAAGTAGGAGACAAACAGTATTTTTCCTCAATGAACAGAAAAGCTTCTTTCAAAGCAACGTTTTCCCAAATGCAGGCTTTTCTTTTTTCTTTTTTAAATATCAAGAAGTAATCATCAACCATTTAGAAAGAGGGTAAGTTTTAGCGTATCATTAACAACCACGACTGGCCAGCCAACACTGTTCGAAGGACACACTATGAATGGATACAAAGGAAGAAAAAACAAACAGCCACACCACAAAGCCAGACCTATCATTATGACTTACACAACACGCTGCACAAAACCCAGCGTGGTATCAAACAAAACAGCCAGCAAGATCCTTAGATAAACCGCAATTTATACAAAGCAAATACTTCAAAATGGTCTGTCAACTTTCTCAAAGGCTGGAGCTGGGAATGAGGACGTCCATCTGGAAACAGACAACTCAGCAACGAACGTGTCACACATTTCCATGGCGATGCAGCCAGTGGGAACTCACCAACAGGCCCCTGCATGGATGAATGGAGCATTTGGGGTTTTAACAGTGAAATAACCACTACAGAAATCCAGTTTTCCTTTTGTTTAAAGCACAGCAGAATCAAGGCAGGACTTTAGGCCCCCTGAATCTGATCCCACGTTGGAGGCAATTAGCATGGCCCCTGGTACCAGCCAGACAACCATGGCAGCAGAGCTGTGTGCCAATCGGATTAAGAGGAGGGAGAAGCAGGACTGTCTTCCCTGGGCTCCCTCACACCTGTTCACTACTTTTCTTTTCTTCTTGCTAATCTTGTCAGGTGGCTTATTAACATGCACGTCAGGAACAAGTAGGCTGACGCCCTGTTCAGAACATGCTCCCCATTCTCTCTATGTAAACAGTCTCAGGCTGTGCTAGTCAAAACAGATCTGGGGTAAAAGCAATGCTAGTGATAATTTTAGCATTTTATTTCTCAGAATACATCAGAGAGGGGACGCATTGTTTTGTGACAGCTCCATTATGTAGAAGACACAGTTTCCCGCCAAACCTCTGTACCTCACTTGTGACATAAAGTATATATATGGATATAATGTTAAGGTTTTTTAGATCTAGGAAGGGATCAATTGGCTGGACTTGCTCTAGGCAGTATGGAATCATCCCTATTTTCTAGGTCCTGTCAATGCTTGCCAAACAACTCACTGGCCCTATCCCAGTTCTTCCAAGCTTTGCAGATAGAAGATCTGCTACAAGGTAACATTTATAACCAATGAAACGGACTTTAAAATGAGTCAGTCAGATGGAGATGGTGCTACAGTGAGCTTATACTGCCAGCATTATTAAAAAGCTAAGAATTTTCATAAATGTACATTTAGATGGGGAAGGAGAAAGAAAGGCAGAAGACCCGTATGTACGCTACTTTCTGAGGTAAGAAGGGATCTTACAGTTGTTTTCTAAAAGGGTGAAACTGGCATCTACTTTCGTACCTTCCTTCTTTTTCATACCCAGCCCTCTTTTGATCAAAGAAACATATATGATAATAAATCCCATCTCTTCCAGGGTTGTTTGAATTTCAAAAGTCCTGTGCTAATGTCCTCATATTAAAATAGCCCAACATCTGGGCATCTCAAGTGGACTTTGGATTGCCTGTTTGTCCAGAATTTGCATTAAGATTATCTGATAAACTAATTATTATTCGATGCTCAAGAAAATACAAGTGCTTGGGAAAGGACGTACAAGAAATATTTACAAAAATAAACCTATTTTACCAAAAAATAAAATAAAAATAGTCTACCTAATAGCATAAACATATTCCGCTTGAGTTACTACCATTGAACATCCTATCCCCAAGCCAACTAAGTTCAGGTTCTAATATCCTGGTACAACTTCAGATTCTTGCCTAGGATCTTTATTTCCTTACTTGGTAAGATTTTTCAAGAGACGAATATTCACAGTGGCTAAGAGGTTGACCTGTAGAATTAGAATGCCTAGCCATATGGCCTTGGGTAAGTTACTTATCCTTTCTGTGCCTTGATTTCTTCAGCCATAAAATGGGAATATTTACGTTATCAACTCTAACACACGGAGTCATATAAACTAATATATGAACACAGTGCCGAGTCTATAGTGAATGATCAATAGATGTTAGGTGCTGCTTTAAAAAACTATTGGTTCTAAAGGAAACACTATTCCTAATGCATAAAACCTACCAAGGTATAAAAACAAAAATCATAATGTAAACATCAATAATTTAACCAAAAATTGTGACTTAATCATGTAAACAAATGAGGAAGGGAAGTGACAAGGGAGTTTATCTTCCATATGCCCAAAAACTATGTGCATATATTTTAGTTATAATATAAAATAATTTTAGGATAATAAATGACTATTATGACTGGAAAAAGAAAAGAGATCATTATTTAAGTGAAACCAGTGGTATAACAAGATAATGCTCCTCTCTCCCTTTACATCTGTACTCGGTTACTGCCATTGGCACAGCTCCCAGTTTCAGCCTACCTTCAGGGCACAGAACAGGTGAGGTTCAGCTTAGAACAGGCAGAATGATTGTTTTTGAGCAAGAAGCGTAGAAGCTGCTCTAAAGAAAACAACTGTGGGCGGAAAACCCTTTCCTGGAAAGGCAGAGAGAAGGCAGAACACTGACACTGCAGATCGAGGATGGATAGATGGGTCAGCTGCCCTGGGAAAATGTGGCCTTTCACTTGGGAGGACCCCACCTCATCAGCCACTCTTGTACCTCCATTGGTTTAGTCATTCAACAAACATTCATTAACCGTCTGCTATGTGCAAGGTCCCAGTCTTTCTTAGGGACTCATCACACGCAGTCCACTGTGCTTGGTGTCTGTGTGGCCGTTTTCTCACTCACAGTGTCTGGTATACAGAAGGTATTTCATAAAGCCTTTCTTGAGAAGGAGAGAGACCAGGGAGCTGGCCTCAGTTCACACATGAAGAGACATT